CAAATGTCGGAAGTCCAAAATTGTCAAATTCATTTTCCCTGGAACCGTTAAATTTCTTAAAGGTTTTTTGACAATTTTAAATTTTGTCCTCAAAAAGTGGAGGTTGTCTTACTTTGTTCCTGCAACTTAGATTGACATAAACAAATCTCAATCTTTTTATAAGTTACAACATTTTTTGTATTTCTATCAATATTGAATGTTAATTTTTCTGTTTTAATTATATGCGGGTCACATGATTAGTGACTATTTTTTCCTACTATTCCGTTTCTACACAACTATATGTACGACTAACCTTATTAGAAGATAACATTTCGAAAATATATATGAATATACATACGATAATTAACAATTGCATTTAGTTTAAACTGAAAAATTGCCTCTTTAGTTAAATCTTTAAGACTCACTTTTATAAGAGTATTCAGACAATTTTACACGATGATGTGAAGCTGGACGTTGCGACTGTGAATAATCGTAGGATCAACTGCCTTGTTAATGTTTATAAGGATGACCATTTAATGTGCGAATTATTTTGATGCTGAAATGATAATAACATATCGATCGTGCTATAAAGTTGATCATTATTAAGCTAATAATTAATGTTGGACTTCTTTTGTCACATTTTATTTCTGATTGTTGTGGCGTTGAGAATTATTATTATTATTATTTCAAAAAAATTACTAAGGAAAAGAAGCAATTAGTATCAAATTGCACATCCCAATAAAATTGACATCCACCCCAACACCTACTCACACTAAGCTTTAAATCTAAAATATTATAAATAGAAAAAGTAAAAAAAAAAAAAAAAAAAAAAAAAAAAAAATATGTCTGGAAAATTGGAAACAGAAAACACTAGCTAAAAACAAACTAAAAGCCATGATCTAGTCTTGGAGGATCAATTCGAAACTACCAACTTGAATGAAAGCTATAAATAGATCTCATTAAAAGCTCGTTTGGCACATATTTTACTTTTACTTTTAATCAATAGAAGAAAATAAGTAAAATTGTAGCTTTCAGTAAGTGTTTAGAATAAAAGAATTTAATGGATAAAAATAATTTTTAAATTTTCTAGTGTTAGGATCAAAATTACCACTGCAATCACAGACGTACATGTGGACAGAATTTCAAGAAGAAAGTTAATTGAAATCGACTGGAGGTATGATCAATTCGAGACGACTAAAAAAGCATAATAATAGGGGAAGCCATTTGGTTCACATTGATAGGGGAGCATCAACTTAAGAGTTGTATATAGTCATGCAGCAGCCCAACTCAAGATGTGCCACCCAGACAAGTCATCAAAATTTTTAATCATAACCTAAATCAAATTACAAGCACATCTCATAAAATAACATCCTAAAAAATTCACACACAATTTATACCAAATTTCAATAATCTCAAAATTCATAATCTAAAATTTAATATCTATAATATAAACTTCAAGTTATATACTAATTCTAAAATCTATAAATCAAAAATCAAAATGTAAAATCTATAATCTAAAATTCTAACAACAAAAAACCTAAATATTTTAAACTAAAAAATACAATATATATGTAAAAAACTTACAAAGTTCAAACCCACTAAAACGGGGGTTGAAAACGACGAAGGTGGGGCGGTGGCGGAGGAAGAGGGCTGTGGCTGAGGAGGGCGGTGAGGAGAGGGAGTATTTTTTATACTTCTTTTGATGAAAAACACTAAAATATGATAAATGTTGATTTGGTGAGGATTTAGAAGAGAAAAGAGGGAGGTTTTGGGGTTTAAAGTCAGAAAGCTTGGGAGAGGGAGGGAGGGAGGGAGGGAGGGGAGAGAGAGAGAGAGAGAGAGAGAGAGAGAGAGAGAGAGAGAGAGAGAGAGAGAGAGAGAGAGAGAGAGAGAGAGAGAGAGAGAGAGAGAGAGAGAGAGAGAGAGAGAGAGAGAGGAAAAAATGAACGAGGAGGCTATGGTCGTGGGTATATAGACAGAGTTTTTTGCGACGATAAATAAAATTTTTGCGACGACGCAATTATAACTTACAAAACTATTTGCAACGACATCTGTCCTCACAAATATTACTTAATATTTTAATATTTATATGAATATTCTGGAATTATTATTTGCGACAACGTTATTCACTGTCGTTGCAATTATGTTTTGGGAACCGCCCAATTTCCCTGCCGTTTTCTTGCGAGGGAATTCAAAATAACTATTTGTGACGACACATGATAAGTGTCATCGCAAATAATATTTAGGAACCGCCAAATTGACCGCCTTTTTACTCGGAGAACAATAAATAAATCAATTATTATTTGTAACGACACATATTGTCGCAAATAAAGAATTATTTGTGATGAACAGTCATCCCAAATATTGTTATTTGGGCAGCAAACGGTTGCGCAAGACAACATTTGCTGCTAACTATATATTTACGACGACTTGTGCATTTTAACGATGACAACATTCTCCTGTTATATGAATATTATTTGCAACGTTATGTCGTCGCAAATAAGTTCGTCACAAATAGAGCAAATTGTAGTAGTGATTAAGGCAGAGTATGTTGCAGTAATTGAAACTAGCAAATAGATAACATAGTTGCAATGGCTCTTGGAATAACTAGATCACGAGTATAAGAAAAGTGTGTTGCTCTATGATATTCAGAGTGATATAATTCACTTTGCAAATAATCTTGTTTGCCATACTATTGAGAAATTTGGTGAAGGCTCTTTCAATTGAGAAATTTAAGTTGTACGCAACATCAGTCAGACTTCTCCATTGAGCATGAGAAGTTATTGTCACTGCAGAAAGGAGCCGTTGATGGTTGATTATTCTACAAAGTAGGCGATTGTTAAGATGTATTATTGCCTAACGCAGAACTATGGCATCTAATTTTTAGTAACACCATGGGTTGCAGCATGGACAAGTCATCGGCATGCCAAGTGACACCCAAGGGGCTGCTAACTCTCCTAGGCACTTAACCATTAGCGGGGCACCAAATATACCCTAATGGACATGGGCCTGAGCAATCTCTCACACGTACAATAGTTGGTTAACTTTATTCATAGGTAGGTATATACTAGTAAAGAACGTGCACTTTGCGCGCGTGATTAATTTAAAACGATGATTATATCAATCGTCAAGGAAAAAATGAAAGAAAAAAGAAAGGATAAAAAAAAATTAAGACAAAAGTGGAAAAATGATATGATGCAAAAGACAGGGAAAAAAGACAACAAAAAACTTAAAAAAAAAATTTGTGCGAAATATTTTGCAACTAAAACTATAATTTATGAGGATCACAAGCAAAAGATGTTTATGTAGAGACACATTTGAGAATAAATTAATTTAGCAAAGTAATTTAAAAAAATAATATTTTAAATAATTGTAAGAAAAGTATTTAAAAGAGACATATTTAAAAATATATAAAAATAAATAGTTAAGAAACACAATAAAAAGAAGATAAGGGAGAAAAAAGAAGAAAACAAAAAGAAAACCTAAAAAAAGCTAAAAAGAAAAAAAAAAAAAGACAACAAAATAGGGGCAACAACACGACTCCCTCTCTCTTTTAAGGAGAGAAAGAGATGCAATATTTGCATAGGGTAGATTAAAAGGAGAGAAAGAGATATACAATATTTTTATAGGATAGATTTTTTAGGCCGATCTGATCAACATAACATACTAAGAAACTACCCCCCTCCCCCCGGGAAAAGAGGAGAGAAAGAGATATACAATATTTGTATAGGATAGATCTTTTAGGTGGATAAGATCAACATAATGTACTCAGAAACCTTGACATTAATTGTTCAATCTTTTTGGGGTGGATATCAATGTAGTTGGGATGTACTTAAAAATTTTGACAAATAATTGTTCGCTTTCTTCATTTATGTATGTATGCAAAGTGTGCATTTATATTATATATACATATAAGTATGAATTTATAATATATAAATAAGTATGACTTTATAATTTTTAAAACGGACAAAAAATTTATATATTGTTCATCTGTGCCCAATTTTGCGCATTCTCTCAACAAAATCACTATCATGGTGCTTAAATACAGTACGAATAGTTATGGCCGACATGCCAATTTAAAATCTATAACTAGCTGAAGGAACTATATATGATCGAGATATTTTGATTAATTTTGAGGAGGGGAGAGACTCTTAATTTTTTTTTAATTCATTTTTTTTATTTCTAAAGAAGAAGAGATGGATCCGATTTGATATTTTGTTTAGTTAGTGGAACGGAAGAATGGACCATAATTAGTAATTAGACCTTTAATTTTTCTTGACTAATTAGTTATTGAGTTAATTTTATAAATGGTTCTTGAAGTTTAACCTCAATCCTATTTTAATTTCTGACTTTTAAAACGACGTCTCACAATTAGTTTTTGAGAGTTTCAGTTTAATCTTTCCATTAACTAGGTGTTAAATATTTGATAGAATCTATGTAAATTAGGAACCATAACTGGAAACAGTTAAAATTTAAAGACTACCTATGTGAATTAACTTTTATTTTTTATGTTGTTTTAGTCGTTAAACTTTAGATGTTTTTAATTTTGGTTCTTAAATTCTATAGATTACGGAAAAAATTTAACGCCTAGCTAACAAAAGTATCGAAATTAGAACAGAATAAAACCTCAGAGACTAATTTTAAATTTTTTAAAAGTCCATGACTAAAGTAGGATAAATCTTAAGGTAATTTGTGGGCTTAAAACCCTTGGTTATTTGTCCTATTATAGAACGCTGATGACTCTCTCTCTCTCTCTCTCTCCCCCTCTCTCTCTCTCTCTCTCCATTTTGTCTGATGAGATCTTCAAACGCGTGGTCCTGATACAGCCATAGATTCTCAATCACCATTTTTCCCAACTCACCATTGCCTTATAAGCTTATAAGCATGTTCCAAACCTGGCATCTTAACGTACTATTAAGGTATTTCTTATCCCCATTTGGTAGGAGTACTAGAACTACCGCTGGTTAATATTGTTTGGGCCTCAGTCAGAAGCAGTTCTTTTCCCTTCACAAGTTGTAGCAAAAGCTAAAGCTGTACGTTCCTGCTGGTACTAATTTTTCTTTTTCCCTTGTACCACACACTTATACACACACAAACACACACACACACACACACACACATATATATATATATAT